AAAAATCCTCATAACATTTTTCTCTGAATTCAATAGTTCGGGAGATACGATGATAAAACTAAAAAATTTACAAGTTCCTAGATAATCACTTGACAATAGAAAACAAAACAAAAAACAAAAGAAAGTAAAAAAAAAACACACTCGACTGTTTTGATTTTTTTTTCCATAACCTACGTACCTAACTCACTTGACTGTCTTTATTTTTCGCCAATAAACTAGGTACCTAGCTCACTCGACTGTCTTGATTTTTTCCCACAAACTACGTACCTAGCTCACTCGACTGTCTTGATTTCCCACAAGGAAGAAATATGTTGGCATTGTTTTAACTTTCTTTTGTTTTTGTTTTTTTAGTCCCTATTGGCAGTCGAGTGGGCTAGGTACGTAGTTTGTGTGGAAAAACCAAGACAGTCGAGTGGGCTAAGTACGTAGTTTGTGGGAAAAATCTCCAGTTCTCTGCACTTTCATAGCGTCGTATACAAATCTTTGGTGCCCAATGATAGTTTCAATATAAAAATATGCTCATGATATGGTGCCATGGCCTCTACTTCCATCTTACATGAGCAATGGTAAAATATCATCTGCTTTTATAGCGTCGTATAAATTATCTGACCTCTAATACCTAATGAAAACTACATCTATACAAATCTGATACCTTTCAAAAACTACGTACCTCACTTGTGACACTCTATCGAATAAAGTTCATATAAACATGTGTCTCAACTTGCACCGTTTTTGATATACAGGATGCTGAAGTTGGAAGTAGTGATTGTTTTTATTTATAACCCCCTTGTTGTATTACATACGAAAATATTCGAAACTATGATAGTGAAATATTTGAACAAAACCTCAAGAATTTCAAGGGCGAACTTTTGCAGAGAATTGATTTCCACTGGCTTTCAAACTTCCTCGATGACCGCTCAGAGTTTGAGTTTTCAGAACTGAGCTTGTATGACGGTGCGATACACATAACCTTAAATATTCGAGTCACGAGTGGGAAAATATGGAATTTGAAAGATTATGAATGTCTCATTGAAATTTATTATTACTATTATTACAATGATTTCCGAAATCATAGATACCTCGGATACAAGCGATGCTGAAGAAATGATGATTGAGATACAGAAGTACTTCGTTATAGGAAACAGCGCTTACGGAAGATTCAAAATTACCTAAAAGTTAAGATTCTTATTCAGTAATGAAGAAAAATACTAACTTCGTGAACGACACTTCAATGCTATATCACTATTGTCGAATTATTCAATTGAACATCATTGACATTGAACATTCATATATAAGACTGTTTCTGGCAGTGTTCACAGGGAAACCACAATAAGAGGTAGATGAATCCATTTCATGTGGACCAACGGAACCAAATGTACTTTCAATTATTCAACTTTTTGATTGACAAAACAAATATTCTGACATATCTGATGACAACAAGGTCGCACCAATTCTCTAATTATTCCACTGCTCTGATGTGCTGGAACCGCATACTTTATGGAAAAACCAAGCCAGTACCACTTGTACTTGCTCTGTGATAGAGTTCCTAAATGTACTTGACACTGCTGATTTTGACGTTCTTTGTATACAAAATACGTCAAAACAACAGTGTCAAGTACATTTAGGAACTCTACTCTGTGCTAGTGCGCTCTGTAAATCGGCGAGTGGAAAACGCTATTGAGTCATTAGAATGCATCAATTTAATTTTTTCACCGATCATTCAAATTCAAACACCCACTTAATAAACGTGACTACTCTTAAGCATTACGTGCGCGCCTAATTTCCGATTTGAATAAACGAAAATAGTCACGTATCAAACGTTTTATATATTTACTTCATTAGTATTACCATTGTAGATTCGGCAAGATTTATTAACTGTCGCTGTGGGAAAGTGAAGTTGAAGCGGTTCATTTTCCACAACAGATAAGAAACAATTTTTGATTGATATTGATCGATATTTAAAATGATATAGGCGCCATGCTATTGATTCATGAATTGATGAAGAAAGTATACGATCATGAAAAATGGGACCATATTCATATACAGGGTGTAACCTAAGTACCTACGTCAAAGTATTCTGAAGGCGTATTGAAACAATTTTGAGAAGTCTATGCGGGTGATAAAAATATTTCAAGGACATATTGTTGGGATCAAAATTAGACTTTTTTTCTGAAACCGACACAGAAGTCGTCCATTTTGATACCAAAATTAGCTCTTAAATTGACGTTTCTATTACTGACACAAAAATAGGTATGTTGCTAGGCAACATATTTAGTTCCTAGGAGATAAAGTTGAATTTTAGTTCCTAGGAGCTGAAGTTGAACTTTAGCTCCTAGGAACTAAAAAGGATCTACTGGACGTCATCAAGAATAGACAACATTGTGACGGTTGGTTATTTGGGTTGAGACGCATACCTGATTTGTTTCCGATTTCAGCAGATTTGGCATTTCATACCCATGCTGGAGATATAATACACCTTATTATAGTTTAGTATTGGAATTATGAACATCTCAGGTAAGTATTTTTGTTTTGATCAGGGAAGCCTTCAAGATTTAAATACTTGCTTGATGTGTATTTCATTCGTTATTCTCGGGATGGATAACTTGTTTTTGAATAATCACGGCAAGCAATAGTTTTTTGTCTCAAACAACGATATTGTTTATCTTCATTTGATTATCAAGTCAAACATAGTGTAGTATGGAGAGGCATGAATAATCACTATTATTGTTGTTATGCTCACTAATCTAACATTTTCCACGTCTTGTTCCTATAGCTGGCACTGGCGCGGTATTTGCCATTAAAGCACCTGGTCCATACACAAATATGTCATGTTGAGGGGAGGTGAGGATGATGAATACCTATATTATATATAGTTATTTATTATACAAGGGAAAAAAGTAGTAGATTTTAGCTCCAGGTTGTGTTGTCTCCCGACGCGTAGCGGAGGGAGACAAAAAACCGTGAGCTAAAATCTAATATTTTTCCCGTGTATAATACACTATTTTTTTCTGTGACAGAAGGAAGGACGAATCAATATTGGAAAGATATTACATTATTTCGAAATCTGAAAATTATCGACGTGAAATTTCAAGTTTTTAACAGTAGGGACACCTGCGTTTTATAGACATCTTTATCATTCTTTTGAAGTAATCAAATATCTGATGTCACTTCTGTCAGTTCAATTCTGTGATTTGATTTTAAAAAATTGCGAATTCAGTAGTTGTTTAGTAATATACGAAACCGCGAAGTCGAATGGAAGATAAAAGGACTTGCAGTTCTTTCTCGGAGACGGTATTATTGACTCACTTTTCGGAACTATAGCACAACAAAAGCCATTAACAGAGTATATATATGTGATATATATCCGGGAAAGAAGTACTCACTTTTTTCCCACGGAAAAAAAGTAATTTATGAAAAGTGACATTTTATAACCTGCCAACAGAGATGAAATGCCAAACTTTTTTCCCGTCACAGAAAAAATATGTTTTTTCTGTGACGGGAAAAAAGTTTGGCATTTCATCCCTGTTGGCAGGTTATAAAATGTCACTTTTCATAAATTACTTTTTTCCCGTGGGAGTACTTTTTCCCGGATATATATCAGATATATATACACTGTTGATGGCTTTTGTTGTGCTATAGTTAAGAAACATGAGTCAATAATACCGTCTCCGAGAAAGAACTGTAAGTTCCTTTATCTTCCATTCGACTTCGCCGTTACTTATATTACTAAACAACCACTAGATTCGCAATTTTTTGAAATCAAATCACAGAATTAGACTGACACAAGTGACAACAGATATTTGCTTACTTCAAAAGAATGATAAAGATGCCTACAACGCAGGTGTCCCTACTGTTAAAAACTTGAAATTTCACGTCGATAATTTTCAGATTTCAAAATAATGTAATATGGTGTATTAAACACGGGAAAAATATTAGATTTTAGCTTACGGTTTTTCGTCAACACAACCTGGAGCTAAAATCTACTACTTTTTTCCCTTGTATAATAAATAACTATTGTTGCCTGGCAATTTGACGAAAAAACTGCCTTTGAGAAAATTACGAGTCTGTAAGACAAGAAATTTAAATTACCTATAATGGGCAAACATTTTTCGCAGTCATATTGACAAAATCACGCAGCTTGTGGGATTTTTCATACATGAATTGAATTGTCACTTCTAATATCACGAGAGCTTCAATTATTTCCGGAAATTTTTTCGAGAACATGCACTAATATCAATCGAAGCTGAAGAGGTATTCGGTAAGAAAATTTCACTCTGAAATATTATATTGCAAGTATATCTACATAATATTATATGGTAAACTGTTGATAAATGATTTTTATTTATTAGCTCATATAATGAACTCGAAATAATCTGAAGTTGAATGTAAATGTCATTCAACCTAGAAACGTCACAAAATTTCTAGTTGAAATTCATGCTCCGTCCCCCAACGAGGAGGAAAATATTTCCAAGAAATTTGTTTAGTCGCTATGGTAACCATACGAAATACAGGTTTTGAATTGATCGAAAATGTTTGATGTGAAATTTTCAGTCCATCTTTGGCAACCTAATCTTTTATCGATATCTATTGGTATCTTTGGGAAACTGATTTGCTTCTATTGTAGGACTAATTTCTGAACGGCTGGTGATGGACATATTATGTATATATCTGAAACATGTAGCCCCTGATGTGAGTGTCCGTAGTAAACTATCGTGGAGATGATTTTGTGCATTATTTAGTACTTATTCAAAAATATAGTTGAAACGTCGCTAACGCAATCGACAAGTCATTAGTAGCTATAACACATTTTTTCTAGAAAAATTCCTTCATAGCAAAAACACAATTTTCTTAAATTTTTCAATCAGTTTAGTTACAGAAAAGAATAAATGTGAAGTGGATATACTTAAAATCCTAGAAAATCATAAATAAAGACCACAGCCAATTTCTCACAACAATTTTTGATGCCTACTGAAAGAAAAAAAACCTCAGTCTCTCTACCCTCAACTACTTCCATCTTTACTTTTCGACCCCTCCTTTACATTACTACTAGTCAAATCCCCCAAACTACTAAGAGGTATGGCTACCAACTGAGGCTGAGAGATATTCGGTCCTTGCAGCAACCCCAGCAGCATACCATCTGGGGTAGAAACATACCCCACCCCGTTCGGGGTTTGCATGAGGAATGGTACCGCTTGCAGAGTACCAGTACTAGGTCCGGCCGTAGAGTTTGAAGGAACTACCACCAGATTCGAAGAGCTATCTACATTTGGTATCATCAAAGGAGCAGATGATAATGTAGTTTTTGCAATGTCCAGTGATGGTACTGTAGAAACCAGAGGTGGAACCGTGGGGATAGATGGTACCGCTGTAGCTGATTGTGAAGTGAGAGTTGTGGAAGGTTCGATGGTTGTTTTTGCTGATACAGATAAAACTACGCTCTGACTGGACTGTACAACAGGCATTTCTTCGTCTAATTGGGTGATGGTAGAGTCAGTCTTGGTTGTAATGGGTGGAGAGCTGATGATATCCAGATCCTTGGTTGAACATTTTTGTGGTATTGGCCTGACGAATGGAGGATCTTGGGGATGGATTTTTCCTGGGTGATCGGAGTTATCTTCTGTAGTATCGATGTCTTCATCGCTGCTGCTGGAACCACTATCACCATCCTGAAACGAATTGAAAGGAATTACTACATTTGCTGCTGTTTTCTGGATCTGATGGGAATTGCATGTTAATGAGTGTGAGTAAGCAGGGTTGTTAAAAACCCGATATTCCGTGAAGCCTCTACAAAATATGGAGTTTATATTCTCATCGTTTACAGCACTGTCCAAGTTTGAGTTTACTACTTTGCTGGCAGGTGATGGCCCTACCTGAATTCTGAAGTGGAAATTCCAGTCATCATATTCGAGGAACTATGCTTTTTACTAGGATGAACATAGTTGCCAATCAGGATCAACAGTGAATGCTAGGCATGATTATTCCGACACATCAGACCTCATCAGTCACCCTCGGACTAATGAAAATTTTATTCGAGAACTAATCGAAGTCCATATCATTAAAGGGTATCAGATGGTTGAATCAACAGCTGAAAAAATGGACTGCATGACAGAGGACGTCTAAAAATATTCATTTTCCATAAAATGTTTGATCTCTATATACCTACTGTTTGAATGAGAATGATATCTTACCGCAATAATGTACATATATTGCAATTTTGTGTAAGTTTGTCATTTCGCGTTACATAAAATGACGCACTATCTATTTATAAATAAATAATATTAGGGAATCTCATTAACTACTTTATCGGTTTATCGGTTTAATGTTATATGTCAATAATTGTAAAATACTTAATGAAGATTAAAAGGATAGTTGTATAATGAAAATATAGCTCTTGAAGCTATTATAATTATGATGAAACAGTAGTGATATTTGAGGCTTCTGGGATAGATACAAATACTGAAATATTCATTTGAATACACTCAAGTGTAATTCATATGAGATTGTATAGTATGATGAAATAATAGCTTCTTTCCCTATGGATTCAAAATATCCAAATCCAAATGAAATGTCATGTAATTATCGAAAAATGTAGTATCTAATCTATGGTCCTCTTCAGTGGCATATAATTGGTGGAGGAGAGGGAAAAGGCATCAGCCCTCGAACAAATGAAAGCAAAATAATCATTTTAGAATTCAAGCAGATTCACTTTTCTATAATTTTATGTAATGGTGCCTGAATGGAATATAAGTAATTGAAAATTCCTAAAATCCACTTTATATTCCCTTCAAAAATCCATTCTTATATATTATTTCAAATTCTTATATTTTTCGAGGAACCTTAAATTCGTTTTAGGAGCATTAGATACCTATTGAATCGGAATACACTGATTGGAATCAATATCCCAAAGAAATTGCGAATTGAATTTTGAATTCTCCATCGTATTTTCACATTCAATATGCATTGTATTATATACAGTAATATCAAGCGATAAGCGGTTATTCTCCCAATCAAAAACAAACCATGCATATATTGAGAAAAAACACTTAAACATACCTCTTCTTTTTTGAACAACTGTTTAGTATATCAACCGATCAAATCTGAAATGTATATAAAAACCACGTGTATTAAATTCAGTGAAAGAAAAAAATCCGACATTTTCACATTTGGCCCCGCGAATATGTTTCACAATTGAATCTGTGACATTGAGTAATATTTTTCTGCACTTCTATAATCTATAATTGAATATTTTATTTACCATTCAAATTCAGCTTGTATATGAAATAATAAATGAATTGATGGAAAAAGGCGTTTTCATCTTATCAACCCTTGTAAATATATAGATATTTGGTCTTCAATTCGGAACATGAAAATTTCATGAAAATTTCAAGAGAACAGGAAAATACGAATTGGAGTCGGTTTATGGTTTTTGTATTCTTGTTAATATCTATATAACTCTAAAATCAATCAAGTTAGCAGTTCTTTCACATATATCATTTGAGTAATCTTTTTCCACCAATAATGGTAGGTACATTCAGATTTTTAATCAATCCTTGCGTTGTTTCTTCTAACAGATTTTCTTTTTATAAATTTGCTGATGATGAAGGATTACTCCTTCGAAACATATTATCCTTAATAATGATAAGTTATTGATCGCCTACGTTGGTTATATCTTATTTCTTGAGAGCGAATTAGAAGTTTTTATGAAGCAAATACTTCAGGGGGTTGGGATTGGGATTTTTGTCAATAACGATTTTTCCACGAACTGTATGATGAACATCAATTCATTGTACAACCGACAAAAAAGTGCTATGGATGGATATTATCATAAACAATATATGTATATTGAATATCATGAAAAATACAAATATTATTTAGTTTTACTCTTACCTACATTGGCATTTGTTGATCGAAATGATATTATACTGTCAATTCAATCAATATATATTTTTGATACGAACAAGTTGTTTGGAAATAATGACGATTTTGTCTCATAAATTCAACAAGAATTTCTACAATTCAAACAAAAAAAAAGTTGGTGTACATTGCTTGTTTGCATGTATAGGCAATTCATTAGCAGCCGTTTAAAGTGACCTGGTCAGAAGACCAGCGACCTTTGAGAATAGATTGAATTTCCTGTATGAACATCTTCACGCATGCGAAAAGCAGCATCTTGAGCTGAGTTATTACCTGAGAAATACGGTAATAGACATGGCCACCATAATTCACAGCAACTTAGACAAACTACAAATTACGAGGTATAAAGAGAATGTGAGACATTCTTGAAATATAGACTATTCCGTGAATATATTATTATAAGATCTTCCAGGTTTGACATCAGTTGGATACGACACAATAATTATTATTGCTACACTGATAGGGGTGTTTTTCAGAAAGCTTCCTGAAATTCATAATGAGGAAGCCACAAATTGATTATAAAAGATCCAAAACAATCCTCATTTCATTACCAACTTTCAATGGTCTATTCCTCACCAATCAGGCAATCACTGACATTTTTATCACAGGGTATTCTCAAAAGTGAGACTTTTTTCAAGATGTTTAATTCATTGAAATATAAAAATCCACCAAATGTCGCAATAATAACGGAGATATTCAAAATTAAACATTTCATACATTGATACATTCATACATCAAGAATTTCATGACGGTCCTGGCCGCACGAATCTCTGTACGGTGATTATACCTGACTGATCCCCTGTTGCCTTAGTAACAACCACAGGGAATTTTTTTTTTCTAGGACTACACATTTTTCAATTGTGATTCACAAAGTGTAACTTGTAATTCAGATTAGTAAAATGTAAGTCAGAAAGCGTCAATTGTAATTCAGATTAGCCAATTGTAGTTCAGAATGCATAACATGTAATTCAGATTAGTGGAATGTAATTCAGAAAGTGTAACTTGTAATTCAGAAAGCATCACTTGTGATTCATAAATACTATGGACTTGAATAAGGGTAGGGAATAGAAATCAACAATATTTCTTATTTATCGACCAACGGGCATATCTTGAAATGCCAGAGCTGCAGCATGGTGAATGGTGGTGTGTAGTGCACAATCTTTTGCTTAGTTTCTGAATCATAGTGATACTTTCTGAGTTACAAGTTATGCTTTCTGAATTACAATTGACGGTTTCTGAATTACATTTCACTATTCTGAATTACAAGTGACACTTTCTGAATTACATTTTACTGATCTGAATAACATATTACGCTTTCTGAATTACAATTAACTAATCTGAATTTCAAGTTATACTTTCTGAATTACAATTGGAAAAGGTGTAGAGTGCCTCAAACATATCATTTTTACGTTCATTAAGGAGTGTGGACACGCTTGTCACCACTGACATTTCAGAATTGTCATAATTATCAGGTTTGAAACGTTACTTCTGAAAATTGAATAGGCGTGCACGCGAAAATGTTATCGAATATATTTTGTTCCGTAACGAATTGCAGAAATTCTAAGAATGATGGTCAACATTTATTTGAGTTGCCCAAAGACGAGACGACATTATTCAAGTGTTCGTTGGAGATTCAAATTCCAATATTCATTTCATAGAAATACATTCAATGATGTGATATTGAATGATATTGATTTACCTACGGCCACTATAGAAAGTAGGCAAGATCACACGGGATACAGTTTTCGTTTATTCCGCCAGTATAGGTATGTCATGATCGTGTAATCGCTGTCAACAGCGGATGACATAACTGATGCCAAGAATTATAATCCAGAATATTTGTCCAAACTTTTTTGATGTACTATATGGTAGTAGGTGAAGTATAGTACGAAATGCGTGTTGTAAAGCAATTACGCATTCATGGAATCTACCCAAAGCTTAGGACATATTTGTCGAGGATATCAAGAATTGAAAGTTGCAATAGAACTTCCAAATTCGAGATACAACATGTGTTAAATTAGAATAGAAACAACATTTCTCAGTAAACTTCTTTGAAATTCAAATAGAAAAGAATATTTTAGCGATTAATTTGAAATAATATAACTAGCAGGTAGCTAAAGTCACGTGACTCCAACCAAGCAGTAGGCCATTATTCATCTTTTTTGGAGCAAAACGTCAAAGAAGAATTTTGAAATAAATTATTATTGAAAGTTCTTTCCATATGATGCATCTCTATGAAAGACATTGTAGATATCGAAATATCGAATGAAATATTATTTCATAACTGCCTAGTGCCTTTTTGAATCACCCTGTGGTTGGTATTCATTCACTAGTCCTACATTTCTTTCAGTGAAATGTACACTCATCAGTAACGAAGATGATTATCACATCTAAAAACTGATCCACACGACAATAATGTTGTTAGGATGAAATTTATTTCCGATAGATGATGTTTCTTATGAGATAGTGCAGATAGAGATGTGAGTTATTGAATTTTACGCCAAGTTAAACTATTTCTATCAATCATATCACAATGCTATCTTCGATCTCCTATGCTGCTGCTATCTCTCTATCTCTCTCTTTCTATCTCTTTCGCTTCATTGAACTCTTCTGTTTACAACTGTCTCAGCTTTCTATACAATTTCGAGTATAGCTAGGGAGTGTCAAGAGGATTTGTGTTATGTGTTATCGAATTTCAATATTATCATTGATTGAAAGTCTTGTCTCCAGCATGGAGTATAGGCATTCAGACTCGAGGTGTTGAATCTCACGGAAGTAGTGTTGAAGATTTAAGATTAGCATTTCTCTTATTTTTCGTCGAAATCAGTAGGTCAGTGATTTCCTTGATCGGCTTATGCTTATGATGATATAAAATGAGCTATAGTACACACGAAAGAAGAATCTCTTGTATTCAGCATGACTGCATTGGCCTAAGAATATAACGAAAGAGATCATATTCTTGTTCCGAGACAATGATTCATTCAACAAGTCTATTGTAGGAAAATGAAGATATGCATTGTTGGACACGTTTGTTATGTTAAAGTGAGAATGGAATCAATTCATATTGACAAAACCATTCACTTATTCCAGGAAAACTATAATTTTGAGGTATGGGATCCATTCACCAAGTGAAAACAATCATTTCTTAATTTTCAACTATGGATTACTATTATTGAGAATTGTTTTCTTTCATTTCAAAATGAACGATTTATTTCAGTCAAAATTCCGTCAATTTTCAACAAACCCATTGATATTTTCGATCCGAATTAATGAATTTTTCATTCCTCAT